GGGCTGCCACAGGAGGGAATAGAGCCACCTGGAAGTGGAGGGAGGGCCCCCTCCTCCTCCGCTGTTTCCCTTCAGAGGCGGCGCTACAGGCTCCATCAGGCGGGCACCAAAGGCATCAAGCGGGGAGAGGGCAGGCGTCTGAAGGTGACTCCACAGTCCCCACCGTGCCCACTCACCATCCCAACCATCCCAACCGTCGGCACCCGGGCGGGCAGGCAGGCAGGGGCGCTCGCTCGCTCTGCTCAGTGTGGGAGGGACTGGCTGGGGCTGCCAGAAGCAGCTCAGCCGGGGGCAGAGCAGAGCGCCACAGGGTGAGGCAAGGCGAGGGAGGAGGGCTGTGCTGGGCCGCTAGGCACATCTCATCTGGGGCCCACCTGGTTGCCTGCCTGCCTGTCCAGGGTAGTAAGTTGGGGGGCCGGGCCCCGAAATGATTCAATGTACCTATGGGCCTGTGCAGCAGCCTCCCAGTTTGGGCATGACCTTTTATCTCTTCTTAAGAACATGAGAGAAGCCAGTGTTGGATCAGGCCAGTGGCTCATCCAGTCCAACACTTTGGGTCACACAGTGGCCAAAAATACCAGGTGCCATCAGGAGGTCCACCAGTGGGGCTAGGCACCACCCTCTACTATTCTACTGGTGTAAATTTCCCCTCCAAATCCCCTGTTAGCCAATCACAGGGTCCGAAGGGTGACCTGGGAAATGTAGGCCCTGATAGCTACTCTCAGGGCTCTTTTTGGGCAGGAACGCACAGGAACGGAGTTCCGGCTGGCTTCCAAGTTGGCCACGCCCAGCAGGGACTCATTAGCATAATAGGCCACACCCAACATCAGAAACTCATTCGGATTGGCTACATTCAGGGCGTGTGGCCTAACATGCAAAGGAGTTCCTGCTACAAAAAACAGCCCTGGGTTTTGACAACAAACAAGGTAAACAGAATAAGAAGCAAAAGGTGGGTGTGGCTGGATGAGCACACTTCTGGTAACGTGGGGGTGTAGCCTAATATGCTAATGAGTTTCTTTCTGCTGTTGGGTGGGGCCTATTATGCTAATGAGTTCCTGCTGGGCTTTTTCTACAAAAAAGCCCTGGCTACTCTAGTAAAGGCTTCCCTGGAGTCTGTAGGCTGCACTGCTATAGGCCTAGGATCATGGCAGTCTTGCCATGTAGCTCTAGTTTGCCCCAAGGTCTTCAGTACAAAAAAAGTATTTTGTATTTATTTCATAATGTGTAGTATCTGTGGGATTACTGGGATCTTGCTGGTCTGGCCGTTTAACCTTTAACTGAATAATTACAGCCATGAGGGACAGAAACTTGCCTTAAAGCAGAAAGGTGAGGTTCCCTGGAAGCCTTACTCGATAGACATCCAGGCAAAATTCATCTGGCACCCGAATCGGAAGTCGAATGTCTTTGTTTAAGGTTTTAATCTTGTAAATAAATTATTTGCACCTGCTAGCTATCAGTGGTCTGAAGGTACCGCGGAGACCTGCTGAGATGGCAA